ACGGGTTCGGTGTTTTTCAAAAATGTGCATTTTTAACAAATCGCTGTAACTTTTTTACTATGGAAAAGTTTGTATTTTTATGAAAACATTTCCAAAGCACCTTTTTACCTATAATTTAATGGTTTAAGTATAATTCTTTTAAAATGAATAATTTAAGAGTTATCAACAGAAAAATTGATTTTTTATTTGGGACGCTCTGTATATTTTTAATTAAATGAAAACAACTTCTCGTAAAAATCATCCCGTAACTGCGAAACGGTAAGAGATATCGATGTGCGGTTTTCACCATCATATTTTTGATAAAAATTGAGCTCCAGAGACCGATATTAGTTTTCGTCTATCTCCTATAGAAAAGGATGTTTCCCTTTAAAAGCGTCAAATTTGACCCACCCTGTACACGAGTCATCAGAGTCCGCCTTAAATTGTAGGTACAATTAATAATTAGTGATGAGAAAAACCGGTGAATTTCAATAATCGAGTACTCGAGTTTCAAGTGATTGCAGTAATCGAGCGATCGTTCGAATTTAAAATTTCGGGTTTTCGACCGTCGCCGTCGCTTGTTGCAGTAAGTTGCGTGAGCAGGGCACATATTCTTTCGGTGATGAATGGCAAGTAGCAAGCGATTCGCTTGATCGCTTGATTTAGTTTATTTCAAAGCATTGTCGATGTAGGGCGTAAAATTTTGTCCCTCAGATACACAACGGATAACGTCGTATAAATTTGCTACCTGCAATGTATGTAGAAAATTCGCTCGGCTTTTTATCGAGTATGTCACATTAAAATCGGATTTCAATTTATTTTTCTAGGATCGCTTGCGTTCGTCGCTCGTAACTCGTCACTTGCATCGCTCGTTCATAATCGAGCGATGGTTATTTCAATAATCGAGTACTCGAGCGAATTTTCACTTGAGTTATCCCATCACTATTAATAATGGACTCGTTCTGCTTTGTGGCGGCATACAGGTATGTAACCAGGGAATGTTTTTGATGATGGGGAGTTTAAACCGTCAAAATATATCTGGTTATTTGATCTTCCAGTCAAAATACTTTCGGAAGTAATCGGATTTTTTTACATTTCAAAACATGAAGTGAAAAAAAGCCTTACAGCGCTTTCAGATGGAGCGGAGCGTCTGCGACGGACCGTCCGCGACTTAGAGCAAGGACCATGAGTTTATATGAACAATTTCACATGGGTCCCTTATCCATATTACGTAATATCGTATTATCCATATACGTAAATACATTAATATAAAAACACGAGGACGGTACGTCGCGGACGCTCCGCTCCATCTGAAAGCGCTGTTATTCTCAGAACTACGTCGTGACTTCATAAAACCAAAGTTTGTACTAAATTCAAATTTGACAGCTGTTTGAATTTTGTATAATCTTATAATAATACCATACCATCTATCTACATTGTCATATTAAATTAAAATATATACTGTGATCGAATGAAAATGCCACAGTAGGCTTAGAAATACAATTTAACTGGCTTTACTATACACCATCGTCCTTTATCTATTTGAAATTTTTGTTAACCGTTAAAATTAGGATATTATAAATATAAATAGCCAGTCCCTAGAAACTATTCATAAATTTTTATATAGTAGGTTTAACATACAATATGTCCCCGGATTGTCTTTACAAGAGGAAAAACTTTTTATTATTTACATTTCGAGAAAAATGCATTCTTTATAACAAATTTTGCTTGTTCTAAAATGGTTAATCCCATTTATACTTTTCCAAATTTCCATACAGTTTTAGAGAAAATTAGAAAAAAACATGAAAATGTAAAGCAAAAAGGTTGGTAAGCAAGAAAATTTTACGAAGAATATGGTTTATTCTCAAAATGTCAATAACAAAAAAGTGTTTTCTCTTGCAAAGACAATCCGGTGACATACTGTATATCAAGAACTTCAGATAAATGCTCAACAGGTTTCACTTTCACTGTTACCTAAAATTTGGTTTGGACACCGTCTGTAACGCTATTTTTCTTCGATCACCCGGTATATTAATGCTATTTATCTCTACTCTTACTTACTATTGATTAACAACGATTTAAAATAACAACTTTACCATTTAATCGACAAATAAAAAAGTCATTAAATTACCTTTCAAACTAAATTTATGACAATCTTTGATAATTCACTTACGTTCTAAATAGTATACCTTCGGTATTTTACGAACAATTTAATCCAAGTACGTTTATTTGTATCTCAAAGGATTTTACGTAGATTGGTTCCTTGACTCTTCCTCGAAAAATCGTTACACTCATAAATTACCGGTTTCAAAGTTTTTAGCTTCAATGTGTGAGTGTTCGTGTGACATCATTCGTACGGAAAGGATTCGTCATCGCCCAAAAATCTCCATCTCGATAAAGTCGTTACGAATTTGAAAATGTAATTTCGAAAATCTATCGCCTTTTTCGTTTTTCCTCGCTGTCCGAGGATTAATTTGATCCAAGCAAGATCATCTAGAGCGAACAGATGTTTTATTGTATAACGTAAACAGCTAGAGAGAACTTAATTTCAAGTTGCTGGCCGTTTGGCGCCATGCTGTCAGTTGCTACGTTGCCGGGTTGGGCCGAAAGTATTTTTGACTAGGATTTTTATAGGAAATTTAAAATTAAAATTAAGTTAATACATTTATAAAAAGCTCACTAATTTTATAATAATATTTAAAAGGTGTAATTTATTGATGTAAATATTTGTAACCAAATCAATTATTCGTTTACTTGTCTGAAATATGTACTTTGGTTAATTAAAACTTGGCTAGAACTAGAAATTATTCAAAAGAGAACTTCTATACTCTTTCGAATAATTGAAAAAAGTTAAATTTATGAAATTAGATTTAACTGAAAATATAATTCAGTTTTACATTATCTATAAAATTTACTTAAACAAAGCATTTATAATACGTTTATAAAGGAGCATGCAGTTTGTTAAAAATTTAGCACTTGTAATATACGAGAAATTGATAACTTTTATTTATACGTCTATTTATAATTATCTATTACATTATTTTATCAAACACTATAAATCTAATATCTACTTATGTGCTAATAGTTTCATAATAAAGTGAGTAAAATTTATATAACTATTTTTATACCGGGTGCGTCTCAAAAGTGACTCATTCCTATAAATGTTTTATTTTTTCAAATAAAAAAACAAGATTTGGTATGTTAGTATATAACATAAATTAGATTTGATTGACTCAATTGAAATTCAACTGTTTTTTGTCACTTCCTTTTTCACCGGAAATGATGACAACTTTTGATTTTTAAATGGCACCCTCGGTATATTTCAACTTTATTCGATAAAAAATGACACTCTGAATATAATGACATATCATATGCCAACTTTTGACATTTCTGTGCCATGCCTGTGTTAAAAACAGTAATTTTTAATCAAGGCATTGGAAAAATAGATTTGATTGTCTAATGTTTTTAATTTTTAATGTACTGTCCTGGTCGGTTAAAAGATGACCAAATCGTATTTTTAATCATATCTCATTTTTTTCAAATGGAACGAAAGTTGCTCATTATTATATTTGGAAAAAGCATTTTTTTCAAATAATTTGGTTCCACACACTTGGTGACTTGGTATTTCGAGTCAAATTGCCGTTATGAATCGCATGTCACAATTTCAAATACATAAACGATATTCAAAAATGTCAAAAGTTGACATATGATATGTCATTGCATTCAGAGTGTCATTTTCTATCGAATAAGGTAAAAAAATACCGAGGGTGTCATTTAAAACTCAAAAGTTGTAGTCGTTTCCGGTGAAACAGGAAGTGAAGAAAAACAATTGAATACTTCAATCAATCCTAATTTATGTCATATACTAACATACCAAATCTCGTTTTTTTATTTGAAAAAATAAAAAAGTTATAGGAGTGAGCCACTTTTGAGATGCACCCGGTATACAGATTTTTTTGATAAATGATAAAACATTTAAAACTAAATACTAAATATACTTTTTTTCAATTAAAAAATACAGGATTATACCAGTACTAAAAAGGTCAATTTCTTGATGATTTTATGCCGTATGATCGAGAAAAAACGGCGTCCAGTTGGCTGGGAAATTACGATCGATAAAATGACAGCGATCTTCATTTCATAGCCATCGCTGACGCCGTTTTTTTTTCGATCATACGGTATAGTCCCTAAAGTGAGTTACTCAGAAATAAGTGAATTTTAAAACTATTTCTAATAATTATATTTAACAAAATCAATCCGTTATAACTAATGTTTTTCTTCAATTTGCAATCATTTTCTCTGAGATGGAAACCATTCAATAGAAAAAAAATGGAGAAATTTACCACACTTTATTAAAAGTTATTTAAAAAAATATCCAAAGCTCACTAGATTTTAACACTTATTGTACAATATCGAAAAAAAAACGGCCTCAATTTACTGACAGTTGGCCTTTAGAAGGGTGTGATTTATTTTTATATTCAGTAAAAATAATTTTTAAAGGTGTAGTTTAAAATTCGATAAAAAATATTTGGGAAAATATTTGGTGATAATGTAACAAGTTTTATATCAAATTTTAGTAAATGACATCTAGAGATTGACCTCGTCAAAATTATCGATTGTCATTCCTCATTGACGCCGTTTTTTTATCATACGGTATATCGTAGAATAAAAGTGTTAAATAGAGTGGGCTTTAGATATTTTTTTAAATAACTTTCAATACAATCTCCTAGAAGAATGATTGATCTGTCAAGTCCAAAGGTCTCTCTATCGAAGAGCTTGTGTTTCTCAAAATACATATACGCAAAAAACTTCTGGATACAATATACTGTCATGCGTTATTAACCCTTCAGACACTGCCATTATTTATAATGCTCCTCCAACTGAAATAAAGTAAATAAAGAATACATTAAATTATGTCAAGGTGAAAACCAGCACTTCGAACGTCTGCTCGCTAGGAATAATCTCGGCAACGTCGCATGCTCAGTCGATAACGACAGGGGCGCGGCCTAGCCGAGCGGTTACCGGCGAGTTCTGACATTTTGTTATTCTCGTTCTTTTCTTCTTTCAGTATTATTTATCTATGGCAGTGAACGGACTGATTGTTATTAACGTACGAAAGTGACTTTTTTTCGGTTTATTTTATTCGAATCATGGCCGACACGGACGCAAAAGATCGATACGATCCCGAACTGAAATATTTGTGTGTGGATAGGAACAATTACAACGACCCTGCCACCCAGGCGGAATGGACCCAAAAGAGGCTGGTGTGGATGCCCCACGAGTCCCAGGGCTTCGTGGCTGCCTCCATCAAGGGCGAAAAGGGAGACGAGGTCGAGGTGGAATTGATGGACTCGGGCAAAAGAACCACGGTGGCCAGGGACGACATCCAAAAGATGAACCCGCCGAAGTTCGACAAAGTGGAAGACATGGCCGAGTTGACTTGCCTCAACGAGGCCTGTGTTCTGCACAATCTCAAGGATCGGTACTATTCCGGACTGATTTACGTGAGTACCCTATGAATGCTTTTTATTTTAGCCCATTTTATCACGTTGTCTTCGAAAAAATCCACCCTAGAGACGTACTTGTCAAGTTGGTCTAAGAAAAACATATGAATTCTATGGTGTACTGCAAAAAATGTCCTTAAAAGGAATTTATTTAAATAGTTGCCATATTATTGATGAATTCGTACAAACAAATCGGTAGATCAACGTAATGATTGTTTGTAAGAAAAGAATGTTAATGTCCTGATAATGACAGACTTGTGTAATTAGTATAATTATTGCAGTAAGTTAGTAATTCAATGGAAGACAAATATTTAATATTTTTTTGCATGGTCAGTAAATAACATTCTTTTTACTTTCTATAATATTCACGAGTTTAAATAGAACATTTTAAAAAAATGCGTTCTAATTTCTTATCATATGTGACTATAAATTTAACAAATCTATCGATAAAAGTATTAATATAGGAATTCGCTCATGAACACTTATGTATGGATATAGCTACAAGTAGGTAATAGTATGAATCATTGCCTATTTTGTGTACCTAGCTAGGTACTTATACTGAAATCTCGACTCAAATATAAAAATACCTCTATTTTTTATGATGTTATTATTTGGTTTGCCAGATTTGATAAGATTGTATTATTTGGTCAAAATCAAAATAATTCGTCATCAACTAAAAATAAAAAAACATAAATTCTATGAGATTAATAATTAAATTGTTTCATTATTATTTAATTGTTGCAATTTAAATAGTTTATCATGTTGTAAACTTTAGTAGATATTATTTTGGGTATTATTAGTAAAAAAAAAAACGATAGATATTTAGATATCACCTTGAAAAATATTATCTAAATGTACCTGTCTGTCATTTTCATTCAAAATATTTTTTTTCTATAATATTTTGAAGGTCGAATCTGTCAAAATCGTATTCTTTCACTGGAAACACCATATAAAAACTGTCACTTTTGACAGAAAATTAACACAAAAAATGTTTAGATTTGAGTTAAAATGACAGACAACAAAACAACTGTCCTAGCTATACATTTTTTAGTTAGATAGACCATTTTTTTTATTGCAAATTCGTCGAGATTAATGATTTCAGAGAAACTGCTGTAGAATAACAGATTTTTGCATTTAGAATTAGGTTACTGAGTGGTCAATTATGCTAATGTTTGATCCTATTGTTAGTGTAAGGTTTGTGTGGGATTGTTTTTCTATATAGTACTTACTTACATATATATCTACTAGAAACAATTACCATTTTTTTAAATAGATACCTAATAGAAACATAATATTAGACGCCAGTGCCTTTTTTAGCAAAGTTACCAATGAAAGAAACTTATTTTTATCCATAAACCCAAAGATATTGTGCTTAAAAATTTACCTCATAAACAAAAATAATTTGATTATTGAAGGGAATAATTTCGGTGCCAACAATAGTAAGAAGGCCTGATTACTTACTCGTGACGTCATCGATTGAAGGTTATGGACGAAATTCTTAGAGCCCAATAACTATAATTTTTTAACTCCAATTATCAAAGTAGGTACCTATTGCTATAAATGCAACAATATTTCGTCTATATACCGTAATATCGAAAAAAAAAACGGTATCAAAGACGGCTGGAGAATGAAAATCGATGATAAATTTGGCGAGGTCAATATCTAGACGTCATTTATTAAAAATTGACATAAAATTTGTCAAAAACTAACACTATTTTTGTAATTATAGAAAAATTGATATAAAAATTTATTTTCAATAAATTATTTTTCTCATATTTTAAACTATACCCGAGACTATACCATTTAGAAATCATTTTTACTCAATATAAAAATAAAATACATTCATCTTCTTAAGGCCAACACTGGCAGTAAGCACCAGGAATGACATCTAGGGCTTGACTTCGCAAAAATTTGATCGATTGTCATTCTCCAGCCGTCTTTGACACCGTTTTTTTTTCGTTTGTGTAGTAGGTACCTATTTTATTAGTATACCGGGTGCGTCTCAAAAGTGGCTCACCCAGATAATTCTTCAGATAAAAAAACGAGATTTGGTATGTTAGTATATGACATAAATTAGGATTGATTGACGCATTCAATTGTTTTCTATCACTTCCTGTTTCACCGGAAATGGCTACAACTTTTGATTTTTAAATGGCACGCTCGGTAGTTTTTTACTTTATTTGATAGAAAATAACATTCTGAACAGAATGACATATCATACGTCAACTTTTGACATTTTCGCTTAAAACAAAATTGAATTTTAAATTTCATTATAGAGTGCCATGGCTGTTTTAAAAACATTAATTTTTAATCAAGGAGCCTTGGAAAAATAGATTTGATCGTATAATTTTATTCGTGTCTTGTCCTGGCTGGTTAAAAGATACCCAAATCGTATTTTTAGTCATATTTCAATTTTTTCAAATGGAACGAGGGTGGCGCATTAGTATATTTGAAAAAAGCATTTTTTTACTAATAATTTGGTACCACACACTTGTTCTTTCGAGTCAAATTGTCGCTATGAATCGCATATTGCAATTTCAAATAAACCTTATTTGAAAATGTCAAAAGTTGACATATGATATGTCATTCTATTCAGAGTATCATTTTCTATCGAATAAAGCAATAAAACACCGAGGGTACCATTTAAAAATCAAAAATTGTAGTCATTTCCGGTGAAACAGGAAGTGACAGAAAACAACTGAATACGTCAATCAATCCTAATTTATGTCATATACTAACATACCAAATCTCGTTTTTTTATCTGAAGAATTATCTGGGTGAGCCACTTTTGAGACGCACCCGGTATATTATAATTAAGATACAGTCTAATATAAATTTCATTCTAAGAGCAGAGTTATATGTTTTTGATATCTTTTAAACATTTTAAACATTTGCAGTTAAAATATTTATAAGCAAAAGAACTAGTATTCTATATTGTATATTATACCGTATGATCGAAAAAAAAACGGCGTCCAGTTGGCTGGGAAATGAACATCAATGACATTTCCCATATAAATTTACATTTAAAATGACAGCGATCTTCATTTTATAGCCATCGCTGACGCCGTTTTTTCTCGATCATACGGTACTAATATTAATATAAATGATGTAAGGGGCATAACAGTAAAATTCTTAATTACAATACCTCTTTCGTTGTATTAATCAGTTCTTAATGTTAATTATAACTGCCTGAATTTGAGAATAAATAATATAAATTTAATAACAGTTGGATAACATTTAACAATAAAATTAGGTAAGTATTTAAACAATTTTATATTCGAAGACTGTCTTAGCTATGCCACGCGTCCCCAACTAGTGGATTCGTTAATTTAAATAACAAATGGCCTAAAACACCTGTCATATAAGCGTTTCCCTCTAAAGGTGTGCTTTTTTAGTAACACGCCCGACTTCCTACGTTGTCGTCCACACTTTGAACAATGTCGAATGCAAACTTGCACAAATAAAATCAAACACAAATTAGGAGAATCTACATAAACAGATAAATAAGTCTTTAGTAGTTCCATGTAATATAATAGCTCTAAAAGCCTAAAAGGCTCATGGCTTGATTGGTTATCTTTCTCCATTTGTTTCCGTCTTTCTCCTTTATTCTCCACCCATCCACTCTTATCCTTCTCAAGTCCTCTTCTATATCCTTTTTCCATCTGATTCTCGGTCGACCCCTCCTCTTTCCACCTATTTCACGTTTCATTATCATACTAGGAATTCTTGCTTCAGCCATTCTTTCAATGTCTCTAAGGGTAACTGGGTACTTTCCAACCAAGTAATAGAATTACATAAAATCACCTTAAATTTAACCTAAAATAAACAATATTTTAAACCTATACTATTCTGAACTAATAACTAATAATGTACTCTATTAGGCAACTATAATGTACCAATTACAATTTACTATACTATCGAAAAAAAAACGGCGTCAAAGACGGCTAGGGAATGACAATCGATGATAATTTTGGCGAGGTCAAGCTAGTGATGTTAATATTTCAGAAATTTTTGATTGTTGCAGGAAATTTCGGAAACTTTCGGAAATTTATGAAATATTAGGAAATTTTACAATTTTACATATTTTTTGTCGATACAATAAAGGTATAAATTAGATAGACATTTGATACCAACATGTAAGTAAAAAAAACAATAAACATAATATGAGTTGTTATATTTTTAATAAACAATACATAACCCATAAAAGTCATAAACATAACCCATAACAAATATCATTTGGTAACATTTGTATTTTGTGCATAAACCACGAACTGTGACTATGAATTTAAAAAAAAAACAAAAAAGCCCGAAATATAAATTTAAAAAACGTAAAACACAAATAACTGAATTATTCTATTCCGGAATATCAGGCGCCGAGCTGGTCCCATCTTCATAGGGTATTATAGTAGCAGTAGTACTGTCGTCGTCAGTTTCTATTTCCAAATCAGTTATATTTGATGTATCATCTGGTTCTGATTCTGAAGGATGGACCTCTACCTCCACGAGTTCTAGTGGTTCTGGAGGAATTTTATGTTGTTGAATATCATGCTCCATATATTACGAGTAGAAAAAATATTGTGATGGGTTGGCGTTGGTTTCTATGTAATTTGACAAATAAATAAAGCTGTCTCTTTAGTTGTCAGTTTTGAGTCAATATTTTTTAATTCTCTTTCGTGTCGATTGCTGATTGAATTGGAGCCAGAAATGGCTCAAAACGAAATAAATAAATTACCAACAGATATTCAGGCTGAGGCGACAAACGAGGGTGGCTCATTAGTATATTTGAAAAAAGCATATTTTTACTAATAATTTGGTACCACACACTTGTTCTTTCGAGTCAAATTGTCGCTATGAATCGCATGTTGCAATTTCAAATAAACCTTATTTGAAAATGTCAAAAGTTGACATATGATATGTCATTCTATTCAGAGTGTCATTTTCTATCGAATAAAGCAATAAAACACCGAGGGTACCATTTAAAAATCAAAAGTTGTAGTCAT